GAGCTTGTGATCTAAATAAATACATGTGCTGAAATGTATTTGAAAAGACATTTTCTGAATTTCTCAATTTCCACCTGGCAGGGCCATTGATAACTGGTCTATAATTTCCTGGTTATTTTTCTTGAAACTAATGCAAAAAGAGAAATCAGTGTCAATACAGAGTGGAGCAAGAGGAACATAGCAGGTCAGGCAGCATCAGAGGAGCAAGAAAGTCGACGTTTCGGGTGTACACCCTTCATCAGGACTGCTATCGGATAGAGAGAAATGTTGGTTTTCAATTACTTTTTTCCTCAGGAAATGTAAAAGCCTCTCTGTGCTTAGGCCAGAATCCATGATATGTCACCTGAACAGTTTTCGTTGTTTAATTGATAATCTTAAATGCAATCTGTGTTCAGCTGGCAAAGTATTTAATTGACAACTGTGAACACATAGATGTTTGAACAATGCAATGTTTAACAAAGAACATGCATAGGCATGTTCCTAATCTACCGGATGCTTTACAGTTTCACTATTTACTGTAAGGGATTGCACTTTGTTTCTGAAATTATTTCCTGCAAGTGAATTGCAAAGATGGGGAAACTTTGAGATTTAGTTTTAGTGTCCTAGGATAGATTGAATTAAGGAAAGTCCCTGGTTATCTGTAATTTGAATAAATGGTAGTTTAAAATAGTGTATTGAATTGTGTAAATGGAGCATTTTAATCCTGTAATTGAAGATGAGGAAATATTAAGTACTGACATACATTTTGTAACAGCTATACAAAGTACAGCACTTGCTTTGAGAGATGCACTGGTTAACTGTTTCCCATTTTGGACTGGGGGAGAATTTTAATCAGCCAAGGTGATGGAGTTTTTTATGGACGTAGGATTAAAGCATGAAGAATTGCCACTATCAAGAAGCTAGTAGAAACTTGGCCACTTCTTTCTTTAATCCAAATGGATTTTTGAGCATTTTGAGAACATCTGTGGGACAAGCAAGTCTGATATTTAAATACATTTAAATTGCAGTTTCAATTCTGACATTAACTCAGTGTGCATTGAGGGGCTAAACAATTAACAAGTGGGAAATGCTTTAAATATGGTGTTGAGTTGCTTCCTTGCGTGTTGAAAAGTTTTCAGATACAGGGCTACAGTTTCACTACTTCGGAAATGATTTTCAGTTTAAGCCATTTTTGCCACCTTGAAAATTTTTGCCTTCAATTTGCACTTCCAACTGTCAGCAGTCACAGCAGCTGGCACCTTGGTCCTTTGAACAAACCTAAACCAAAAGCTCCGCCAACAGCATCCTTCTTAGCTACTACCAGCCCACAGGCAGGGGATGAGCACAGAGCTCCAGCTCATGGGAAACTAAAACCCATAATAGCGAGGTTTAACTTAAATGAAATGATGGAATCCCCATTGCCACAGAAGGACCAGACCTTGTCGATTGGGTATTTTCCTTCCTTTAGAAGTAAGTCCCTTTTCAAGTGGACCAGGTAGTTATGCGTTGCCTGTGGCATTGAAGGCCACCACAGTCTTAATTTATTCATTATCTGCTCCTTCCAAGGATCAGCTCGTGATATCCGTGAATCTCTTCTTGCCCATATATGCCCTTTGGTGCATCTCACTGGTAATGGATGATGTCTTTACCAACGCTGGTACTTGTATGCACTTTAGTTCTTTGAGAAGGTGACCAAACAGGTGGATGAGGGTAAAGCGGTTGATGTGGTGTATAGGGATTTCAGTAAAGCGTTTGATAAGGTTCCCCATGGTAGGCTATTGCAGAAAATACGGAGGCATGGGATTGGGGGTGACTTAGTGGTTTGGATCAGAAATTGGCTAGCTGTAAGAAGACAGAGGGTGGTGGTTGATGGGAAATGTTCATCCTGGAGTTCAGTTACTAGTGGTGTACCTCAAAGATCTGTTTTGGGGCCACTGCTGTTTGTCATTTTTATAAATGACCTGGATGAGGGCGTAGAAGGATGGGTTAGTAAATTTGCGGATGACACCAAAGTCGGTGGAGTTGTGGATAGTGCGGAAGGATGTTGCAGGTTACAGAGGGACATAGATAAGCTGCAGAGCTGGGCTGAGAGGTGGCAAATGGAGTTTAATGCGGAAAAGTGTGAGGTGATTCACTTTGGAAGGAGTAACAGGAATACAGAGTACTGGGCTAACGGTAAGATTCTTGGTAGTGTGGATGAGCAGAGAGATCTCGATGTCCATGTGCATAGATCACTGAAAGTTGCCACCCAGGTTGATAGCGTTGTTAAGAAGGCATACAGTATGTTAGGTTTTATTGGTAGAGGGATTGAGTTTCGGAGCCATGAGGTCATGTTGCAGCTGTACAAAACTCTGGTGCGGCCGCACTTGGAGTATTGCGTACAGTTCTGGTCACCGCATTATAGGAAGGATGTGGAAGCATTGGAAAGGGTGCAGAGGAGATTTACCAGGATGTTGCCTGGTATGGAGGGAAGGTCTTATGAGGAAAGGCTGAGGGTCTTGAGGCTGTTTTCGTTAGAGAGAAGAAGGTTAAGAGGTGACTTGATAGAGACATACAAGATGATCAGAGGATTAGATAGGGTGGACAGTGGGAGCCTTTTTCCTCGGATGGTGATGGCTAGCACGAGGGGACATAGCTTTAAATTGAGGGGTGATAGATATAGGACAGATGTCAGAGGTAGGTTCTTAACTCAGAGAGGAGTAAGGGTGTCGAATGCCTTGCCTGCAAAAATAGTAGACTCGTCAACTTTAAGGGCATTTAAATGGTCATTCGATAAACATATGGATGATAATAGAATAGTGTAGGTTAGATGGGCTTCAGATTGGTTTCACAGGTCAGCGCAACATCGAGGGCCGAAGGGCCTGTACTGCGCTGTAATGTTCTATGTTCTATGTTTACCACTGAGGCCACAAGAAAGCCCTCAGATTTGTTGCTGTACCTAGATTTCCACTGCCCCAGAGAGTTAAAGATCACCCATTTGTACACTCATCGCCTGGGAATATCTAACTGAGTATTTAGCATTCTATACCAAAGGTTCAATTAGTCTACAGCCGCTGAAAAATCATCATCGTGCTTATCCATGCAAGATTCCTATGGGGCTGCCATAGTGACTTCATCTTGTGTCAGCCACGTCTTCCAGGAGTTTGTGCTTTGAGTCGGGCCCTCATTTCCATACACCCTTTCTCCATGTTCACTCTGATGCTCTGACATGCTTCCCTGCTAGACCTGGAAAGCACAGATCTGCACTTCACTGAGGTGTGAACAGCCAAGGCAAAGTTTCCCTCAATCCTGAGTAATATGGCAATCTGAATGTGTAGGCCATTGCAAAGCATTAGCATGTTACCATCCTGAACAATTAAAAACTAATGTCACTTGATAAGCATTCCTACTCATCACCTTTGGCTATTGCTGCCTAACTGTAATGAAGATGAACTGGTAGTTAGCCCTGTACCACAAAAATATATATGATACCATCTATATGAGTGCTTCCAAAAGTGACACTATTTTAATTCCTTGGAGTTTCAGAAAATTGGGGAGGGGAGTTTCAAACTGCCTCGTTTGCTCTGCTCTGAAAAATGACGGCCCACCTGTTAATGGTCTATGGCTGTAGCAGCGATTGGGCTTTGGATAACAGTAAATTAAGTGACAGAAAAAATCCAGAAATTTTAAAGGGGCCTTGCAGCAGTCAAATGTCATTCTATGCTCTACAACTACCATTGTTGTCTTGGAGTTTGTGATCCTAAAATCTGTGTTCTATAATGCAGTGGAGCTTGCAACAAGCAGTTTGGAAATCCAGTATCAAACTGATGAGGCATTGAAATTTGTGCATTTTGTTCACAAGATCATTGAAGTCCTTCAGCTCTGTTACTGACCATAAACCACTTTCCTTTTGGAAAATGTTGTTGTGACATATAAACTAGATGTCTGTATCTGCTGCTTAAATTCAATTACCGTATGAATGCTAGTATTTCCTTTGTTCCAGTTAATGTCTGTTGTATAGTTTCTGTCTGAAACCACTTCTGTACATACTACCTTAAGATTTTCATCATTCATAAATTTAACTCGACAGTTGGCAAACCAAACTGAGATAGTGGGTGTCGGAGCAGGCCTAGCATCTCTGATAAAGCAAAATATTGTAGATGCTGGAAATCTGAGAATAAATAAAGTGCTAGAGAAGTCCTAGCAGCATCTGTAGAAAGAGAAACAGATTAATGTTTCAAGTCCAATATGACTCTTCTTTGGCATTATATTATTTGGGGCTCCAAAAAAGTCACGTTGGACCTGACATTAACTTTCTTTCCCTCAGCAAAGATGCAGCTAGACCTGCTCAGTTTCTCCAGCACTTTGTTTTTATTACAAAGAGCTAAGCACCCCAGATGCTCTCATTGCTCTATTTTAATTATAGTTTATTTGTTTCCTAATCCAGAATCAATTAACATGTTCTTTAAAACGCCTACACTAAATTGTGCATTTTCTGGCATTTCAAATTCTGCAGCTTTCAGTTCTAGCTAAAAGCTTTGTAGTTAGAACTTTTCATCTTGTGTAACCGTGAACATTAAATACTGAGTCATATAAGGAAAGAACAAAGATGAAAAAATGAGTAATCATCACAGAGATTCTGTCCGTTGATTAATGAAAATATATTGTGAAAGGTCCTAAGATCTTCATTGTCTAAGTTTCATACATCTAGTTTTGAGAGGGTATACGTCACATCAGGTTTTTTTCATGGTAAGAATTCATAGAAATGCAATTAACAATTGACCCAGTTCCTGTTTAAAACCTCACTTAACTTTAGTTTTTGGTAATGACTGGTGACTCTACTAACTGGCTGTCCAACCACAAACCTCATTAAGGGATATAAATGACCAAGAATCAAAATGAGCAACTTAATTCAAGAAAATGAGTTCACTATTGGACCCTTTTGACGTAAATAAAAATATTACACAACTTTTTTAATTAAAAAGAAAATGAAATGTGTACCAATATTCAGTCAATTAACCAATTTCTTCTTCTTTTCATAGATTAATCTAAGTTACTTGAAAGGAGAAACTACAATACAACGATTGCAATTAATGGTTACGGAAAGGAAGTAATCAGGATGGAAGATGCTTTCATTGAGTTCTGTGGCCTTGCCAACAAAAATGATAGCCTTAAACCAAACGAAGTGTCTTTCATCGAAGAAATCTGTTTCACTGAAAGTGTGAACTTCCTTGTACATCTGGGTTTTGTAGTTTGCTCTATTGTTGGCCTTATTGTGATTAAATGCAGACGGAGATCCGTTACAACATTTCATATTGATAGTGGCTTGAGAGGCTGGATCCATTTTCCATGGCACAACGTTCGATGGATATTAACATTCTTCTATATTTTCATATCAGCCTGTTGTTTAGCAGATGGCATTTTGTCACAATTATACTCAATGTTTGACAGACCATTTATTTATATACCAGATGCAGCACAACTAGCCTCTAGTGTTCTTTCAATCATCTACTATGACGTTGCTGAAAGTGCAAATGCACCCTTGTTTTTGGTACTCTTTATCTTTCACTGGCCTGCCGCCTTTAGCATTAACATATTTAAAATATATCAGCTATATTCCCAAAAGTTCATCACGAGTGATTTGACTTTCCTCCTTGTCTGTACCCTGGTAACAATCTATGGATCCTTTCTCATTCTGGAACTTGGCGTATTTTTTAAAAAGGTAAGTCCTTAAATACAATTCAAAACAAAAAAAAATTGCTTCTTAATGTGGAATTTTTAAAAAGTGTGTTCTCTTTCATGAAATTCTTGGGTTAGTACATCCAGTCTCTTGGACGTGGTTTTAAAACTACTCCTAATTTGACACCAGTTGCTTCTAGACTGGTAATATTTGATTGCACCATGGGTGGTGTAGGAATGAAAAAACAGTGGCTTGAATTAAATGCTGGTCAGCAGCAAAGTGCAATCTGTTCAGCGATGTTATGACATGCCACTGGAGGAGGTGGAACCAGGGCCTTCTGATTCAAAGGTAGGGTCATCACCACTGCTACAAGAGCCCTATATTGCTGCTGTGCGTAATTTCATGTCATTATACAAGCAGGTTGGGTTTGAATCCAGGCCTCTTCATATAGCGCTAAATGTACCACTGTTCCGCAAGCCCTATATTGCTGCTGTGCACGATGATTATCCCAACTCACCACAGCTATGCCTTTTTTCGCACTCTTCCAATTGTGTCTGTCACAGAAATGCTCAACAGAGGGTCCATTGTGGAATTCCTTGAGAGCGAAATACAATATGGGGAAGAAATGAAATTGCCCCCTTTTAACAACCTATCTATCACACTTAGGTGAGTTTAAAAATTCAGTCTTTGAATATGAGTAGGCAAGTTACTGAATTAATAGGTGAAGTGGATGCGTTGTGGTGGTTGGGGGTAGGATAGTTTGGTCTGGTTGGGTGAATGTAGTCTGGTATGGTAGAATGGGGCTAGTGGGGTGGTTGAGCCAGTTGGTGGGAGGGGTAATTGCAGTGCTGGGGAATGAGTAGTCATGTGATCAAGATGAGTAGTCTGATTGCAGAGGAAATGTGTCCCTCATTTGTAGGGGTGGAGAGGAGGAAAGTACAGTGGAGATGTTGGTAGTTGGTTTGGGTTGGATGGGATAATAATTAAGTTGGGTATGTGTGGTCGGATCTAATTCATGGAGATGGTAATAGGGATTGGTTATTGGGATGTTTTGAGTAGTCATGGGTGTAGTTGGCTTGCTGGGGTGTGCGTGATGGTAGGCACCAGTCATGTGGAATATTTGAGCTGGGGGCCCGATTGGTTTGGGAGTATTTCATAAGTTCTGATTGGAGGGATGGGTTAATTAGACTATTGAGTTGTGTAAGTGTTAGATCAAGTTTAATCTGTGAAATATTTTCTATGTAGTTATTGGAGGTAAAACACGTGCATCTGTCCCAAGCCATTTGCACTCATCCCATCAGAATTTTAAACTTCCTGGGCAATGCCAACTTAAGTTCATGCATCAGAACCTCCACAGGGACTTGACTAGCAACTTCCATTGTACGTCCAGTCTCCAACAGTCCAGAGGCTGGAAGGATTGGGCCATCGTATTGATGTTATAAGGTTGCAGTTTTGACTGTGCACTGAGATATATTGTTGCATCGGATCTTTATTACATGTCTAGCTGAGCTTTGTTGCCTATTAGACATTCCATGCTAATTACTGATATGAGAAGATATGCCATTTAAGTTCTTGACAGTAATGATGAATAATGATGTTTTTCATTATTTTGGCATTTAAAACAAATTCTCATAACTGTGTAAGATTTGTTGAAAACTCATTTTTTCCTTTGATCAGCGTTAACCCACCAGCTTCCACCACACTTCCAGGCAGTGCATTCCAATTCCTAACCACTTACTGTGTGATTTTCTTTTTCCTTGTCTTGTACTTATTTCTTTTGCAAAGCATATTAAAACTGTGTCCTTTGGTTCTCAAACCATTCACAAGTGGAAACAGTTTCTCCCTATCTACTCAGCTCAGAAGCATCATAATTTTGAAAACATATAACAAATCTCCTCTTAGTCTTCTCCTCTTCCTCTTAAAGGAAGACAGTCTCATGTTCTCCAGTTGGTCCTCATAACTGAAGTGTTTCAACTCGAGAACCATTCTTATAAATTTCTTCTGCTCTTTGTCCAATGTGTTAACATCCTCCATATAGTGTGTACACAGTACTCCAGCTCTGAACTAACCAGTGTCTTAGGTTTATTATTGATTCCCTGCTCTTATATTTCATGCCCCTGTATATGAAGCCTAGAACACTTTACCAACAGCTGTTTCAATCTGGTCTGTCACCTTGATGTACGCCTACTTCCAGATGACTCTGCTCTGTGCTTCTATACACCCTTCAGAGGAATACTTTTATTTATTCATGAGATGTGTGGTCACATGTAGACCAGACTAGGTAAGGATGGCAGATTTCTTTCCCTGAAGAACATTAATGAACGAGATGGGTTTTTCTTGACAATCGACATTAGTTTCATGGTCACCATTAGACTCCTAATTCCAGATTTTTAATTGAATTCAAATTTCACCAACTGCCATGATGGGATTTGAACCCAAGTCCCCAGATTGTTACCAGGGTCTCTGAATTAATAGCCCTACTGATAATACCACTTGAGCATTACTTACTCTTTTGTTTTATGTTGTCTCTTCATGTATTTTGTACCAAAGTGCATCATCTCACACTTCATGTTGAATTTCATTTGCCACCCGTCTGTCCAAACCACCTGCATGTTAATGCCTTTTTGAAGAAATACACTGCCCTCGGTTTACAACTGTCCAAAGCTTTGCCATCTGTAAATTTTGAAATTGTCCCCTTCACATCAACATCTAGATTATTATATAAAATATATAATAAATAAGTATACATATGCAATGTAAATCAGGAAAAGCAAAGGATCTCCGTATAGACCACTGGGGAGCAGCACTACAAACCTTCTTTCAGTCTAAAATAATACCCATTAACCATTATTCTTTGTTTCCTATCTATCCCTTAGCCAACTTTGTATCCCATTGCTGCTGTCCCTTTTATTCCATGACCTATAATTTGCCACAAAAGTCATCAATTCTCTCTGTTGCCTCTTCAAATAAAAACTCGAGTAAGTTAGACATGATTTTCCTCACCCACAACCCAAGCTACAGATCTTTGCCAAAACTTTAAATGATTTTCCCTTATCAAATCTGCTGAGTCTTCCAAGACTAATTAATTCTATCTCAATAATTGTTTCTACAAGTTTTTTCACCACAGAAGTTAAACTGACTGGTTTGTAAATGATAGACTTAGCTTTATACCCTTGCTTCAACAAGGGCATAATGTTGGCGTTTCTCCAATTCTGCACATCCACAGCTGCATATTAAACATTATAACATTAAAATTTAATTGCCAATGCCTCTGTAGCTTCCACTGTCACATGCTTTAATATTCCTGGATGCATCTCATAGTCCCAATGCTTTATTGACTTCAAGTACCAACAGGTTATCCAATACCTTGCATAGTGGCGTTTTGAGTAAACTCTTTTAACTCCACATTTTCACAGTTATTAGTTGAAGTTTACATTCATTTGGATCATAAAAGCCATAAATATTGCCTTATTTTTGTCTCAGCCACATGACTGCTCTTCCTTGCACATTGTATTGTACAACTAACCCAATTAAGCAGAGCAAAATTTTAATTTCTCCCTTGCATGAAGTTATTAACAAATAACTTTCACATGTATGCATTACATAACATCACTTTTCCTCATGAGAAAACATTTTACAAGCTTATTTCAGTAAGCTTGGCTAAGGAGGGGAGAAGAGAACCCATTTTGTCAGAATGTTTCTGTCATGATAGTATATCCTTGTATAATTGATATCATGGCATGAGTATTCTTTGACTATTCATGGTTCCACAATACATTATTATAAATAATTCAAATACTTTGTATGCTATTGAAATGTGAAGAAGAATTGCCATGTCAGCTTGTATGATGAACTAACATATAATATATTTATTCTAGGGTTACTTCTGTCCAGGGTATTCCAGAGACATACCACCTTTAGAACTACAAGATCCAGAAAAAAAGTTTCATCAACCTTATGTCAATGTTTTGTCACAGATTACCTACACGTAAGGAAATTTGTGAAAACAGTATGCTATAAATAAATTTGTTGTCTACAGCTTAATTGCTGATGTTCAGTGGATAATGCTGTTACAACTGGATTGCAGTGTGATGACAGTTTTTCTGATGAGTAAGATCAAAATTATTCCAAAATAATAGACAATTTTTAAAACTGATTATTATGGTAACAATGTTATTCAAATCTATATAAACGTCCGCATCAGTTTTTTTCAACTGATGTATTTTAGTTATTTAAATTACCAATCTTAGCTAGCTAATATGTGTTGTAGTCTCCAAAGACATGAGCACATAATCCATGCTAGAGATATTTCGGTGTAATACCTGGGGAGTGCTGTATTCTTGGTGTGTAAATCTGAGTGAGTTCCTATTGGCATATTCAGAATTGAAAGAGAAGCATGGAAGTTCTCCTGTAATTGATGCCCTGCTAAAATAAATTATTTAATCAAGTATTTAAGCATTGTTGTATAGGGACTTTGCTCTTCACAAATTGGCTTCCACTTACCTTCCAGTACAACAGTGACCACACTCGAAAGTTACTCATAGTAAAATACTTTAGGATACAAATGCAAATCCTTTTCTTTATTTTCTTTATTTGCAAATCCAATACCCATCAGACATTCAGCATTATATGTTGACATCATCTGTTTTAAACTGATTTCTGTACTATGAAATTACAAATTTCCATCACTTTATCATGGATGGGTAAAAATTTTAGTACATGTTATGCTTTGATTGGAATTAATAACCTGAGAAGACCAAAAGTAAAATGACGGTGGGCCAAAAGCCTATGACAGCTGGCACTTCACTGACAAAGCTACAATGTTAATTAATTCAGGAACGATCAGTCAATTTTTGTTTTGTTTTGAGTTATATTTTTGAAGTAGATTTGTGGAGCAACACGTTTCAACTATGATATTTCCTATTTCCTTGGTCCTCTGCACTAATAAGAAGAGAAGAAAATGATGAATGCAATGCAGTTGATGTTAGGCATATGTACTTTGAAAAAGGCCATACGACAAATATTTTAGCAAAACTAAAACCAGGGGCACTAAAGAAATAATAGTGGCGTGGACACAAAATTGTCAAAGGAATAGACTGTAGTGATGAATAATTTCTCAGATTGGAAGCAAGCATATAGTTGTGTTCCTTTTGATGTGACTATTTGATCCTTTTAATTAATAACCTACAATTAATGACGCTATGATTTTAAAAGTTTGCAGATAATATGAAATTCAGAAATATAATAACACTGGATAAAGACAAATGTAAATCGATGCCTGCTGAGATCATGCTACGAGACGGTTCATTGTTAAGTGGTTTACCGTGTTCTTCAAATACTTGATTAACAGCTCCCAAGTTGTCAATATAACATTGTGTATTCTAGTAAAACCCCCTTTTGTTCATTTTCCAACTTTTTAGCAGATTAACTGACCTTATTTTAATACCACTGCTTGCCATCAGGATTTAGGTTTATCCAGTAGATGTTTAACAATCAGGGTCCTCCACAAAAAGGGTGAAAATTATTTTTTTGTGGACTTGAGTGTGAAAGACTGTGGAGATACACGTACTGGTTCTGCTCTTTAAAAATGATTCCAGATAATTGATAATTTTGGTTGTTTGAACTCTCTCCAAGGAAAACTCGTGGTTGTTTTGATGACTAGCTTTCAGGGCTGTTCTGTTTGAACAGTTTTGCAGGCTTTTGGATGGTTTTGGATTTGCAGCAGGGAAAGCCTGCTAAGGAATAGGCTGTCCTGCTTGTGTCTCCTATTTTTAATGCACTTTTATGGTGAATTCAGTGTGAAATCTGACAGTCCCATTGGTACTGTGTTTCCTGAGCAATCTGTGTTTGCTGAGAGATGCCAGAGACAGTTGGCTATTTGGTGAAATGGGCAAAACGTTGCATTTAAATTATGGCCAATAGAGTAGTAAAACTAGAGAGACAATGCACTCCTCTCATCTTGATCACAACATCAACTCAAGTTGTTCCTTTCAAAATGTTCTTCTCTATGCTGTGAGTGTTTGTAAACTTTGAATCATGAACATATTGTCCAATTTTTATTTCTGTAATTTAATTCCAGTTTTCTTCCTTTACATGAAGGTGTTATTTCTTATTACAGAACAGTTCTGATTGTGATGGCAACTTACTCATTTTTTTTTTCTGCAGTGGTCTTTATTTATGTATAAACTACACTATTTCACTGAGAAGTGCCTTTCAACCAAATTTATTCATCTTGCCTATTATCACATGTTGTACACTGGACAGGGATTAGGTCGAGATACCCTGACCTGTTTTTTAAAATTTATCTTCAGTGCCCAAGGAACTAGGCTGATAGTAGCACCCAAACTGCAGCTAATGTTGTTTTGATACCATGTTATCATGTTATGTACATTGTAATATTCTTGTATTGTGTTCCTTAACTCAGAATTAGTTCTTTCATCTGAAAGGTAAGTAGTGTAGATTCAAAGTACTTGGAAATCTCAAGCTGATTTGTTTAACACACAACGTGATAACTTGCAGTTACAGAACAGCATATTTACACATTTCAGCCTACCATGCTGCCACATGAACTCCTTATGGCAGCTGGTCCAATGGTGTCATTCTGGTTCTTGACTCAATGGATACTCTCCTCTTAAAACAGTAACACGCCATTTCCCATTTTTTTAACCCTGTAAAACTAAATGCACTAAGAGTGGAAAACATATAGATATAGTTTAAAAACTATTTACGTAGAAACACAAATTGTGAAATTTACATGTTTGAGAGTCCAAAAGCCTGTGAAATGTATAGATAGTTTAATAAACCTTGCAGATTTCATGATGGTATAAATTTTTAGAGATCTAGACTTTATGCTTCAACAACAAAAACAAAGTTGCCGGAAAAGCTCAGCAGGTCTGGCAGCATCTGTGGAGGAGAAAACAGAGTTAACGTTTCGGGTCTGGTGACCCTTCCTCGGAACTGATGGTGGCTGGGAAAATGTCAGTTTATATGCAGAAAATAGGGAGGTGGGTGGGGTAAGGAGTAAACGATAGGATAGAGCCCAAAGAGAGAGAAAGACAGTTGGACAGACAAAGGAGTTGCTAACGATCAGGCTGGGAGGGTGAGTAGTTGTTAATAGGGACTGTCAGTGACTAACAACAGTGGGTGTGTAGTGGCAGGCTATGTGGTAACAAGGCCTGGTGTGTGGGGTGTGGGGCTGGGACATGGGAGAGTTTAGACCCTAAAATTATTGAAGTCAATATTGAGTTCGGAGGGCTGTAGGGTCCCCAAGCGGAAAATGAGGTGTTGTTCCTCCAGCTTGCGTTGGGATTCACTGAAACTCTGTAGCAAGCCAGAGACAGAGGTGTTGGCCAGGGAGCAGGGTGGTGCATTGAAGTGGCAGGCAACAGGTAGTTCGGGGTCTTTTTGCAAGCAGAACGTAGATGTTCTGCGAAGCGGTTACCAAGTCTATGCTTCGTTTCCCCAATGTAGAGGAGACCACTTTGTGAGCAGCGAATGCAGTAGACTAGATTCTTGGAAGTG